GTTTCGCGGCTTTTCCTGTTTCACATGTGCTATTTATTGAGTATCGATGTCGATTCGATGTCGAGTATTGGGACAGACTGTTCTCTCAGCTCTTTTATTTTTCATTCCTCTTTTTCAGTTTATATTTCTTAGCTTTTTTTTCCGAAAATTATGATGGAAGGAAGATGCATTTTGTGTTTCAGTGCTTGCTGGTCTATTTCATAGCAATGCTTCATGGTATTGGTGTCCTAATGCCATGGAACATGTTCATCACCATAGCACCTCAGGTTCGTTCATGAATATGGATCTGAAAGTACATTTCAGCTGTATGGGAAGAGACTGCGAACCATCTCATTGGGAAGTTGTCCCTTTTTCCATCTTCAGGGGGGACGCGCCAACCAGTACGCCTCAGTGGTTCTCTGTCTCCACCCATTCGGTTATCGTGGAAGGTGGTGTCAATAGGTGATTCTGGATTGATGAGTACATTTCAATGCATTGTTTAGTACTATGTTGAATACTGGTTCACTCCAAATAACACGCAAACGGAATACTCGAAAAATTTCATGAGCTCATTAGGTATCTCAGCGCAGCTTCCAAATGTTTTGATTAATGTTATTAATACATTTGCAGTCATTGGGTAAGTTCTCGAATGTTCTACACATCTTGGAACTGTTACAGTAAAATTGTTTCCAGAGGTGCTTTATTACTTCGAATTGCCGGTCCAATAGTTATAAATTGTGCTAGTGTGTTCGCTACAATCATGCTAATCGTGTTCGTTCTGCCATCAGAAGAAGGTTTGTTAAGTTACAGTGATTGCATTCTGTTTTTTTTATGAAAAATCTAGTGCTCATCAGTATTTCCCATTGTCAGGCTGCGTTCATACTTTGCGGCAGCGTCCACCAGCGTCTACCAGCGTCCGAGCGTCCGGCAGCGTCAGCGACTAGGAAAGTATAGATATCGATCTAGCGTCTGCCAGCGTCTGCCAGCGTCACCAGCGACGGGAGTAGAGAGTGTGGGGGGGGGGGAATAGTGGGGTAGCAAACAACTGGATCAGGCGTCGTGTGCACTACACAGTACACTGAATTGCTTGATTCTGTTCTTCAGTAATTGTGTAGTGCGGTTGGCCGCAATTCCACGACGCCTAATCTAGCTTTTTGCTGCCCTCCTGATTTCCGATACTCTCTACTCCCGGTCGCTGGTGAAAGCTGACGGACATGTCAACGGTGGCAGACGCTAGATCGATATCTATACTTTCCTAGTCGCTGACGCTGCCGGACGCTGGTATGTGCTGGTGGACGCTGCCGCACAGTATGAACGCAGCTCCAGTGTTAATACCTGTACAATGGACATTGGGACGAGCCAGATCTATCAAAGAGCTTCCCTTATTGGTGCTCTCTTTTCTCTACCGATTAGGGAAAAAAGTGGCGCATTAAGGAAACAGTAATCGTAATCCTGGATCCGCCCATTTGCTCAGCGTGGACTGCTTTTTCAAATCATTGAACACAGTGATTGTGCGCTTTTTTTGAGGAAAATTGGCTAATGTTTCCATTTACTGAATCTTGTCCTTTTCAATGCAAGTACTCCTATTCGGTCAGCTTGTCTGCTGCACGATGTCCCACTAATACTTGGTTCCCCATGAGGAAAGAAGGGCGATTTGCGAGCTTCTTTCAAACATGGCGTAGGATGTGGTTCTCGGGAAAAATATATCCATTTGGAGAAATTGTCATCCTACTGTTCATGGTAGTCTGGTAGCTTGGTGGTAGTGTTAGTATGGACTCCGTTAAATAACGCCTAAAATCATCCTTAGTTCACGTCCGAACTATTGCACCGGAATCTTCCGATTTCCGATTCACGTGTTCATGCCGATGCCGACTTGTGAGAACGTATTCCTCATTTCACACAAGTCATGGTTCAATCCGGTGAAATGGCAGCAAATATTGTTGAAAGACAGTGTCACAGAAATATCAGTTCCAAGCAATAAATTGTTCAGCAATCAATCACCCTGGGAAATGACCACTGGAGTGTCGTGCATGGCGCATTCCCAACGTTCAACTCCTATTTCCAGATATGGCTTGGTTTTACGTTGCCACGTTGGTCATCGTGGCAATCATCAACTTTTCGAATGGCCTATATCAAAATTCGACTTTCGGCTTATTCGCCGACTTTCCTGCTGAATACACTAATGCTCTTATTCTTGGAAATAACTTATGTGGAACATTCACTACCGTACTTTCAATACTTGTAACGATGAGTAAGTGTTTTCCGATTTAGACTATCTTTTCACAGTTTGTTGTTCGCAACTATCTTTCAGTCCTTTCTGACGTACGCTCCATCGCCATCACTTACTTTACTATTTCGTTGCTTATACTGTGCATTTGTGGCCTTTCTTTGATATTGCTCACAAAACAGGTTTCATCTTTTGTGAATTATTAATTTCATTTGATTTATTGATTTGATCTATTGTTCACGGCTTTTCTAAGAGCATTACATTCTAGGAATTCTATAGTTACCATGTCGAGAAAGGAGCTGCAGCGAGAGTACAATCGAATACCTCTAAACCTGGGCTGAAGCAATTTCGAGATTGTTTCAAAATGGTCAGTTGGGAGTAAGTGCTTTCTGCATTTTTGCGTCAACGCTACAGTGTCATTCAATTTTGAAAAGCAAATGGGCGCCGAGATATATTTATCATGCGTCATTTGTACTTACTCCGTGAACCCCGGGAGACGGACAAGAGAATCGTAATCTGCCGCTTCGTCGCACGCGGCGACGGGCGCGACGTCTTCTTAATTTGCATTAGCCTTCCGACTGGAACATCGGATTTTATGTAGACTAGAATGTCGTAGACATTTATGAATGTTTTTGGTCTAATTCTAATTTTGTCTATTCTCGACCAATATGACCTAGAATCGTCGTCATTGGCGAGCGCGACGTCGCACGCGACGCCCACTGGCGCGGCGAATTACGATTCTCTTGTCACATACCCGTA